GCCTGACCCCATCAGTGCCGACCCAACTACACCACCACGCGCATGCCTCGCGGCGGATATGCGCAGCAGCAAGAAGGTTTCGGTCATCCCTTGAGGGTGAGTCTAGCCCTGCTCGCCAGAAAGACCCCCCCCTTCACTACAACCCATGTCTTAAGCAAAAGCTTGTCGAGGAGCGAGGGGAAGAAGGGAGAGTGGGGGGGTGTTAATTAATACCTTACACACACGGGTTTACTCCAGGACAGAAGACACTTCTTGGTCGATCAGGGGTCTCTCCTGTCTCAAGTGTGAAAGAGCATTGCAAAGAACCTGAAGCCATGTATGCACATGAACATGCCGTTGCATACCGTCGGCTACACTCTTTTCCACTTGCTTTCTTACCTGTTGATTTTTTTATCCTTATCTCAAGATGCTGGGCACAGGCAGGTTTCAGGCGGGTTCCTCTTCCCTCCAGACATACAACCACCTATGCCGATAGTAGCAAGGAGTGTTTAACGCTGGTGGTGGAATTTTCTCACACACAGGTTTCAGCCGGGATCCACTTCCCTCCAGACACACAACCACCTTGTGCCGATAGAAGCAAGGGGTGTGTTTAACGCTGGTGGTGGAATTTTCCAAGGCAGAAGCAAGCCATCCTCGGCGAAAACTCACCTACAGGTAGAAGAGCAACTTGTACAGCAGTAGACAGATCTACACTGCCTCGCCTCTGTTGTCAAGATTAAAGTAAAGAAAGTGTTGTCGAGGTGTCGAGGTTACCATTTGCATCACCGGGGGAGACTTGTATCTCAGCGAGTGTCTATTGTCAGGTCTATATGTACAGCAGTAATAGTCTCTAAAAGCAGTGCTCCTTGCAGATCCGCGCACCTCATGTACGACGCGTGTCTTGCTTGTAGATCCTTTCCAGAACCCTTCAATTTTTTGTGGTGTGCGGTACCGGTTCTCATCTGAAACACTACCGGCTCTTTTTTGTTCGGTCACACACTTCCTCTTTCTTTCTTCGCTCCCTTTGCACCCGGCTTCCTCCCCCACTCAGCTCAAACCGATCTTCGTATTTTGAGATTACTTCTTCGCGAACAAGGTGAGAAGCTGCATAGATGTCAGCATCGAATGCCCACGTGGGAGTTGGTACGGGGAGAAGCTACGGAGAGACATGCGCGATATCTATGCATACGGCGGTAGGTGCCTGCCTTACAGGAGCATTGCCGTCTGAAGAAGTTCTCGAGCCATAGGAGAGAGAGAACACACAGCGTGCTCCTGACGAGGTCACGCCACGATGGACACAAGAGCAGCTCTTCTCAACAGGATGTACACATGCCTTACACACACATACCCTTGCCAGCGCACGGGTGTACCCATCCGGCTTAAAACGCATCGAGATGTCAGGATAAAGGCGTGACGGGCGGCGCCGTCGGGCACTAGGCACTCTGGTGACGCCATATATGCTGCTCACACAACAGAAAGTATGCGGGTGGACCAAAATGCCAGGGCGACAAGTTACACATACCGCCAAGAAGCTGCCGCCAAGCCATGAATCAAACTTTTAGGGGGCTAAATACAAAAGCACGTTTCCTTGTCATGTGCATTTGCAACTCAAAGTCTGCTCTCCGATGTTCCTCCTGTCGTGCTTCTCTCCAGCTCCAACCCCGCAAGATGCCAAAAAAGCTATGCAAACCGGCGGCACATTTTCTCGAGGGTGGCGGCAGAGAGAAAATACCCTACTGGTGTAGACTACTGGTACTGATCTCGTCGGCTCTATGCATTTCATAGGCGCCGCATCTCGCTCCTACCCGGCACGTGTTCAACGCAGCGGTAAAATCATATACCGGACGATGTACCACGACCTATGTTACCGTCGTGTCTCCTCTTTCTCCCATGTCCCTCGCTTCCTTGTTTGGTGTGCAAGGTTGAAGTTCACCCTTTTCCGAAAACAAGTCGGAGATCTGTCCTGAAAACATTCCTCACATCCTCGTGGCCGCATCGTGCTATTGAAAAAATAACTTCGCATAGCACGCCATATAGAAGAAAGACTACTCAAGGTTGCAAGTACGGTTGTATCCCTTCCAATAGATGTCGTTAAGTCTAGCTTTCCTTCAAGAGAAGCACTGTTGTCCGGGGCATGGGATGCCTCCAAATTCGGTGTTCGCAATTCGTCCCCACCATGTTTTCGTTGTGGTCTTGTTCTGGTCTTGTTCCCTTCATATGTACTCCTACATCTACACTCATCGTGCCGCCACTCCCCCCTCTTCCTTCAGCGCATCAACGATAGTGTGCGGCACGCGGCACGCAGACAGAATCGACACGGGAACCTAGCACGAGGAGAGGTCACGAGAGCCGAGACGATAGGCAAAAAAAAATGTCCCTGAACGGCGCAATGTTACGGGTTGGTGCGGGAGCGGCGGCGGTTGCCCGTAGCGCGATTGGGAAGTCCAGCTACGGCGGTGCGGCTCTCGCCGTCACGGGACGCAGGAGCATGACCACCTTCCAGGAGAGGTATGTGTAACACAACTTGTGTGGTCACTCATTGATATTGTGACCTCGTCGTGCTCATCGCTCCGATTTGGACCACACACGAGGATCCCACACTCGGTCGCCCCGGTGGTCTAGTGGGTAGCCTCGCAGCCTGCTAAGGGCCAGGTCATGGGTTCGAGTCCCGGCAAAGAGAGTTTCTTTCTCACTAAATAAATCCTGGTCTAGGATGAATGCGCCGCGCTGCAAAGCTCGTTTGTTAGTAAACCATAATCGACTTCCGCAAGAGGGGGTCCAACCCCCCCCTCCTATGTGACCCCGGTTGGGTCGTCTAGCTAGTAGAAGTGGAGGATAGGGGCCAGAGGGGCAGACGACAGAGTCCAATGATGGGAGAAAAACAAACAAACAAAAAAAACTCGGTGTGGGGCTTGCCCTCGAATTGCTCCTCCTGGAGTCACCAGCAAAGTGAAAAGAATAAGGTCGTGGCCGAGAAAACACCAGGGCGACGGGCTACACTGACAGAAATGAACGGTGTATTTCCGATACTATTTTCACCGGGCAAGCTCATCGCGAATCGCTGGTTGGGTGACTCACGTACTACGGCTGTGACGGGGATGTCGGTCCGAACGCCCTCCTCCTCGCGATTTTCCTTTCGTTTTGGCCTCGAGGGGATGATGAAACCGCCGTGACCCAAGGATGGAAACATATTTGAGCGAAAGCGCTGTGCGTGCCATAAAGGTGGCCCTCTGACAGCAACGCCTTTGCGAAGCACTGGATAGGTTTGGGATATTGCCTCAAGGGCAACCTTGGCGGCTGCCGCCTGCCGGTGGGTTAGGTTTGTGCTCCCGCGGCGCGGGAGTTCGGCGCTTGTCGCTGATTTTTAGTTCAACAGCTTCAACAGTGACAACCATCAGCAGCGTACACCTGACGAGACTGACCACTTTGGGTTGAATTCGTGCCTAATTTGTTTTGGCAACAATATTGAAAGCACGATGTCCGATACATGTGTTGTCGGGTAGCATCCCGCCATCTCGAACTATCCCACATGGGGATGCATCGCGAGAGCTCTCCCCCTTCCTCTGCCCTATTCATAATTGGCAAGCGGCGGGAGTCAAAGCTTCACATGGCTTTCCAACTCTCCCGAGATAAATATTACCGCGACGATATGTTTGCGGATGTGTATCCGAAGCTCCATACCACGGCACCCGCAGCTAACCAACCGTTGCCACCCCCCCTTCCCCTGTGTTCTGTCCCATTCCTTCCCTCCCACTCTTCAGGGAGCGCGGGGAAGAGACAGTGTACATGCGCAAAGAGGATAAACGATTGCTTGAGAACTTGATCAAGAAGGAAAGGGCTCATCACGAGGCTGTCAAGGAGTAAGTGGACTTTGGCCTATACAAATGCCGTATCGTGCCCTGTGGCTCTGGCTTTTCTCGTACCTAGTCGCAACTGCAATTTGATGTTCATGGTTAACCTTGGTTGTCGTCTGGCCAACTGTGTACAACTGCCTTTTCTGATTGCTGTCGTTGCACACTATTTCTGCTGCTGCCGCCGCCGCTCCTGCTGCTGGAATTTTTTTACGAACCACAGCGTCGCCAAAGATGAACTGCTGGCTATCCTCGGTAGCCACAAGCTTCCGAGCGACGTGGTTGACAAGCTTCTCGCCTGGAAGTCGTCGCACTAACCTGGCCGGAAGCATCCCGGTTTGTGCTTGGTGTGCGCAGCAATTATGGGAAGGAATACAATGTCTAGCATGTGGCAACGCACAAAGAGCAGCACTGCGACCACAGGGCATCACGTGGTGCTGCAGGGAGGCCTCTGCGCATGTGTTGATGTGGAGGCACGGCTGCGAATGATGATTTGGGGAGGGGGGGGGGCGTACTCTTATGTTTTGTATGTCTTAGCGGTTAGACCATTGACCACGCGTCCTCGAGAGGACGGAGCATTGTTCCCACAGACCGATCACCGATGGCCAATCGTTCCTTTTCGGGGAGGGGGGGGGGGGATTGGCAGAGAGAGTGCGGCGAGTATCCTTGAACAACCGTTCGTGGGCTTGAGAGACGTGCTGGTCTGAGCTAGAGGGAGGCAGGTGAGGGGGTAGAGATAGACATCGGCGGAACTAAGATACAACAATGTTTTGCGTGTGCTCCTGTTGCCGCTGGTGCGCTGATGGAGCAGTGCGGATCCGTACCTACACGGTAATTTCAGAGCATCATCTGGTGTCGATTGTGCTTGTTATATTCTGTTTGGCTCTAAGATGTTGAGGCCGGCTTGGCCGTGTCTGCATGGCGCCACTGCCACCTCGCCCCCCTCTCAGGCCGGTGTGTAGTAAATTCTCGTTCAATTTTCGAATCTTGCTTTGTCGCCAGCAGCTGGCTGCCTGGTGCACGCCTTTCTGTCAAGTGAGTAGCACGAGCATTCCTTTTCCGCTCTGTTCTTCCTCTCTCGTTCCGCCGGCCTCCTTGCATTGGCTCAGAACCCAAATGCACTGGAGGTAGTGCTGTTTTTTATCTGATGGGGTGTTTCAGGCTCTGAGTGTCGTCATGGCTCGTTATCGCTCTATGTGAGTCACGCGATTTTGTCTGGTAATGTGGAACCGTTCGAGGTACGTTCGAACCAAGGAGGAGGGCAAGCTTCCTTGCGTTTCTCAGCGTCGTGTGCAGACTCAGAGCTTTGCATGCGTGAAGCTTGCCATCAAAAGCATCTCATTCGTACACTTCTCCAGCTAGCGACGCTCCTCGTGCGGCCGCCAGCCGCCACCGAAACAGTGGAAGAAGCCGCAGTTTGGGCCCTCTGTCGATGCGCTGGATTGATGCTTCCTCATCTCGAGTCACCAAATCCATTCGTCAAATATTCTCAAACCGGGAAAACCAGTGTATGCCTACGTCAAATTTCCTACGAAATAGGTTCAAGTTCGGCTTGGACACGTGCAACCCTTTTTCTCGTACATGCAGAAATCCATCGGCGTCACAGGAATGCACCCTCCTAGGAACCGCGTCACACATTTCAGCTAGGACGGTTCCCGAGGGTACACCTTCCTCCACCGCCAGAGGAGAAAATCTTGTACGCGCGCCTTATGGAGGACGCGCCACGTTATGGAGGAAACCCATCCACCAGAAACAACAGCTGCAGCTCGAAGATGATGCGATGCGATGTGCAAACTCTGAAAAAACGTAGTGGGTTCGGGTCTGCTGTGACTGTGTAGTCGAAACATTTCCCTGGTGGTTCTGCTTGTGCAATTTTGCTTGGTATATTGCATTCTCAACGAAGAGTCAGATCCGCTGAAAGGGTTCCTCAAAATTCATGTTCAAGTTTTGCCGTGAACGACAGAGGTACAGCTGTGAGCCAAGCCAGGTTACAAAGGCGTGGTGTGCCGCACCTGTACGACAGGGGTGCAAAAGGACACCGTACCGATGGATGATGAACCGATGGTTCGAAGAGACACAGGCAAATAGGTTGTTCAATGTGCGTTGTATTGTTGAGCAGGGCAGGAAACGGAGTGATCTCCAGCCGGGGGCGCATGCTCTGCCCGGTCAGCGTTTTAGCCGGGACACTGACAAAAACCTGAAGAACCGTAGTTCTGCAGTAATCCGGAACCGTTCCGGGAATCAAACACCGTGCTTTGAGACCAAACCCGTCTTCCGGAAAAAATCTAAATTATGGAGTTTTCCTGAACACATTCCCGAGAGCAGTTCTAGGTAAGTGTGCCCTCTCTCAGGACCTCGACGAACTGCTCTCCGAACCATTCCGAAATTAGTTGAAGTTACGTCTTCAACTGCTTAATTACCAGCAGGTTGGTGCTCCATATCACGCATACTTGAAACCGAGTAGGTTTGGACTGCAAAATCGCGAATGATGCGTAGTCTATGGCATCGTTTCTTGTTATGTGTTCATGATACCTGTGCCAGCAGTTGTCCAAATGTAACGGACATTTCTATGCAACATCTGCATTCGATACCCCACTATTAGTGATACGCCTGGTATTACAACAAAAAATAGTCAAGACAGTTCTTTTGACGAGACCAAATGGGCGGCAAAGAGCCCATCTGTTTGACCTTGAGGTGGTCCTCACATCACAATGCGCTTATAGGGAATCGCTCTTTGCAGCGGCTCATGTCCGCCAGTTGTGATCCGCTCCCCTTCAGGACTTCAGGACGTACCTGGCGTAGGGAGATCTTAAAGGAAGAATGTACAGAGTAATCAGCGATTGCACAATGCGGATATTGGTTAATTTAGTCCTGCCTCGAGCTGCGGTTCCGCTGTTCGGATACCAGTGTGCACTATCGGCCATCCGCCTACACGACAAGTGCCGTGAAGCAACACGATTTCGCGATTCAACACCGCGAGGCGTGGCCTCTTATGAAACACGTTCATCCATGACCTTGGCACCACACACAGAAAACTTTGATCAACTTGAATACCAAGGCCACAAGCGGCACAGGTGCTTCAAGACAAAACACCACCACATGCAAACAAGTTGGGAGGGGTACAAAGTGCGGGCGACAACACTGACGACGGCAACCAACAGCATCCATCGCACGTCGCGCCCACACCTGCCATCCTCCTTGGAATGAGCGTTACTTGACCAAAGGACCAAAGACATTCTACGCTTACACCAATGAAGACGTTCCATATCACACACTCTCCCGCATCCCGGTCCTTACCTATGAAAAGGCAGAACGAAACTCTTGTTCGGGCGGCAAATACGTGCCAAGAGCAAGGCAGTTGGTTTCGGTACGCGCGACGGGTCTACACCAGCAAGGTGAGCACTTCCAGTCGAAGGCGAAGTAGATACAGCCGGAAACGTCCACGAGCGAGCGCGGAAGGCATAGCCACGCATGAGTGCTCGAGTGATGGCCCCCTGGGTAATGTCATCCGGATTGGCATTATACGCTGACTGGCATGCCGAAATGTCGGTGGAAGGATCACCATCGTACAGCTCGCCAGCCCCGGCAGAGAGCAACACCTCGACAGCGGCAAGATTGTTGAATGTAGCGGCCATGGCCAGGATGGGGAAACCTTCCACGCTTGACTGCGCCCAGTATCTCCGCCTCGACTCCCCCTCAACCGACAGGAATCCGTGCAGGATTGCGCATGCAGTATGTTCCTGGACAGCGTGGCACAACGCCGGGGGAAGTTTGTCCACGCCTCCAACGCCTCTATCCGTGCCTTAGTACCAAGCAGCACGCGGATCACGGATTCATGCCCGTTCGCGGTGGCAGTGGTGAGGGGGCACGGTATCCCTTTGCTCGTTGCACCGGCAGACAGCAGACAGGAGACAGCCTGCGCCTGCCCGAACTCAGAAGCCACGCACAGAGGCGTCATGCCACCTTTCGTGGCGCGATTCACGGTCGATGGCGCCGCTTCCAGCAGCAAGCCGATCGATTCGGTATCTCCTTCCAAAGTGGCGTAGTGCAAAGGAAGGTTTCCGAGGACGTTTTCAGTTGCAGGGTCTGCCCCCGCTTTCAAAAGTTAGTGCACGACAGCCGCGCGGAGCCCGTTTTCAGATGCCCTGCACGTGAGTAGCAGGGCGGTGGCCTGGTTCGAGTCAACAGCATTTGGGTTGGCACCCGCCGTGAGCAATAACCTCAGAACGGCGGTCTGGCGAAAGAACCCAGCAGAATGAACCGCAGTCGCTCCGCGCACAAGAAGAGCCTTGACGTCATTTCCGCCCAGATCCAACGGAGAGCCGGCGTCATGATTGGCCCCATTGTCGATTAACACCTTGGCCATGCGGGCGAGTCCGAGCTCGGCCGCGAGGAGGAGGGACCGGTAGTGGGTGAGACCATCGCCGTCCACGCTAGCCTGACCGGCTGCGATGATTTTCTCCGCCCGTCTTGTGTTTCCTTTCTCAACCGCCGTAAGGAGTCGTGCGTCATCCGGCGTCGTTTGCATCGAATGTTCAAACGCTTCGTAGGAATTTTAAACGTTCGTAGAAAACTCCCTCGAAGACCTCGCACGATCAAGCCCGGATGCCTGATTCAAAACCTTCGAAAAATGTTCATGGAACTCTTCGCGGTTGGTGATATTTTTCGTAGAACCACCGAATTCAGCGCCACAGAAAAGGAGGGAGATGCAGGGGGGTGTTACTGTACGTTTATGTTGACAACATCCACACGCACTTCTCGTCAGGGGTCGTCTACAAGTCACAACCTGCGGTCAGAACCCAGCACAATTCAGGAAGGAAATAGGGCACAAGTTCCTACATCTTCCCGCTGCCTAGAAAGGTGGCATTGTCTCTCCAAGCGAGGGCGAAAACTGCGCTACCAGTAACATCGGGTCCCGCTTGGACCTGTTCGAAATTGGACTTTCGATCTGGTGGTACAGAGTCAGGGGGGCAAGAAATGCCTCCTTCGTGGTAATACGACAGCGCATGCATGTGCACGGGCATCGCGCCCACCCGGCTGCTTGGAACAAACGAGTCCTTCACTGCAGATCTATCTGCGAATCAACATGGACGGCATATTTTTCTGAACAGGGTTGCCAAAGTTGCGGGTTTTTTCGACATGAGAAAGTCGACAAATAACGACCCACTTCGACAGTCCATTAGTAGTTGGCAGCGGTGCAGTGAGGCTTCCAGAACAAGTCCGGAATGATGATGAGTCTGCTTCTAAAGCTACAGCGAAAATCAAGGCCTGGGAGCACACCGACAGCAGTGTACGTGCGAGTTGCAAGGGCAAGAAATGAGCCAAGTCGCCAAGGAACCAGCGGGTGTATGTTGACTAGACTAAAGCTTGAAAAAGCGACCGCCGTGCGCCTCCCTGATCCTTCACTCCCATGTATCCCAAACGCTGAAAGCAAGCATGTTTTTTTTGCCCCGTGCTCCTTTCACGGAAACGGAGAGAATTCTTGATCCGTGAATCTTCACGGAATCGGTTTATATGTATTATTGTCTTACCGAAACGTTTATTTGGGAGTTTCGGGAATATGTCTGGTTTTGCCGAGGTAAAATGCCAAGACAATATTGCCCAGACAAAAATTGGCATGAAAAAGATCCGAAAAGAGGCTCAGTTCTTTTTTTCGGCATGACGTGGCAACGGCCCGCCGCTGATTGGCCGAAAGATTCCGCGCGCCGTTCCCTACGCTCTTCTTCCCAAGCAAGACACTAGGTTTGCTTGGTTGGGTGGTGCCATCTATTATCCAAGGTGCCAGAAGCATCTAGCGGGGGTGTTGTTACCGCAGAGAAACACCCCTATAGAGGCTTCTAGCAAGCAAACTCTCAGCCGCTCAGGTGGTGTCCTGTTTCAATCAATCGAAAGAGAGGGGCGGCGGTCAGCAGCAGCTCGCTAGCTGCAGACGCACCAAGCAGCAGCAGCAGCAGCAGCAGCTTCAACCTAGAACAATCACCCGTCACACAGCGTTTTTGTAAGCAGCATCCCAAACCGCAACAGCTGTGTAGAGGAGATGGCACCGATAGAGAGTAACACAATGCACCTTTTGGGCCACACCTCCCAGCAGTTCGAGTGGTCTACAACTCATGGTCTGGGTGTTCTCCTGAACTGGTTGTAAGAAGAAAGTTGCTCTTTACTACGTTTTTTTTTGTATTGTTTATTTGTTTTTCTCCCATCATTGGACTCTGTCGTCTACCCCTCTGGCCCCTATCCTCCACTTCTACTAGCTAGACGACCCAACCGCGGTCACACAGGAGGGGGGGGTTGGATCCCCTCCTGCGGTTCATGCCTGAGGTATTTTTATCGCGAGAAGGGTCAGCAATCCCTTCCCTCGCGACTTACGAAGTCGATTATGGTTTACCAACAAACGAGCTTTGCAGCGCGTCGCTTTCATCCTAGACCAGGATTTATTTAGTGAAAAATAACTCTCTCTAGGGACTCGAACCCATGACCTGGTCTTTAGCAGACTGCGATGCTACCCACTAGACCACCGGGGCGACCGACAGTGTTCTTGACCAAATATCTGGGCCTTCTAAACAGGAACCCACGCCTCAGATAAAATGAGGTTGGTGATAGGTAATTGTCTGAGCCATGGGTGAAAAGTGGGGCAACCTCAGACAAATAAAACCCGTACCAGCTACATATTCCAAACAATCTGACCCCTTTCTTGTCTGAGCATTTTGTCTGACAAAAAAATATCCGAAAGGGTCTATTGATAAACTAAATACAATGGGGATTCGCGGCACAACATAGTGATGTGATCACAGCAAAAGTTGGGAGGAGCCACACGGTTGCAACACGGCAGCTGGCTGAATGAAGGCTGTCACAGCGGCCTGAAGCAACAACATTATGTGAAGTCAACCTTGTCTATGGGAATGCAATACAGCAAGAGCTGTAAATCTTGATGTTGAGGGTTCACCTGTGGGTGCTGTTGCTCGCAGAACCCCCGTCGGTCCGTACCAGGCAACCACAGCCCAATTAATCAGCTCGTTGTCAGCAACCCACGCCAACTAGGCTATGGTATAGTAGCAAAGCTCCTTCCCGAAGCCCGATAAACAGCTCAATAAGCCTGAATCCCGTGCGCCTGGTCCTGGTGTGGGAGGTGTGTGCTGTGAGGGTGGTGTACAGGGTCAAGATGGGGAAATGGATAATGGTGAGATGGTGGGCCGCAGCCAAAGACTTGAGAGTAATGCCTCCCGAACTTGTGTAGACTTAGTTCCAACTTCCAAGTTCTCAGGCCTCGCTCTCGCCCTTGTCTCATTCTCTCCCACCCCAGCTGCCACTATGCCCCCCCGCTGTTCCCGTCCACCCCCATCTTGAACGCTGAGAGAACACACACACACACCATTGACGCAATGCCACTGATGTGCTGATGCCGTGGACCACTGGAGAGAACCAACGAGCGAGAACCAGTTCTCAGACGCAGCGCAGCACATGAACGCATTCCCGCTTCCCGCCAGTCCCGCCGCGTCTGAGACCTGAGACACCGGCGAACACAGGACCCTCTTCACAAGACACAGGGCAGAAGGGCACAAGGGGCGACACCACCGGGCGTCACAGCACAGAGTAAGCACCATGTGCGATAGCGGTACTTCTGTTCGAGGTAATGGAGGTGGCAAGTGGTCGACCCTTCGAGACGCATTTCTCTGTGCGGTGGCAGCGTCCAAAAGAGGGCATGCCACGGAGACTGGTGGCAACGGGGCGAATGACAGCACCATATCCTCGAGGTTCGAGGGCTTCGTTCTTTTCCCCAGGTGTGTTGTGCACAGAGGACATGAGTTTGTCCCCCTTCCTGCCCGAGGGTCACTGGAGGCTCCTACCTTCCTTGCATAGGTCCATCTCTTGTTTGCGTTCGCACCTCAACTTGACCCCCGTGCCTCACAACGTATGCCCGGGTTTGCTGGCCAGACAAGAGATTGACCCAACGTCAGCGGTAGCGGCAGCTACACAAACTGCAACGACGGCCATCCACCCAGGCAATGTTTGGGCTACGTATCACCTTCCTGGTGGGAAAAAGGTATCGACTGTCTACAGTTCTGTGGCTGGAAGTTGTTCCGATTTGCGAGTGCATGCTTGCAACTTGATGTCTAGTCTAGGTAAATGCCACGAATCACGCGTTGTACTGCTATACCAGGTATGCTGGTACAGGAGTACGAGGTAATTGCTCTCACGAACGACTACGGAGTTTGCGAACATCGGCATTCGATTTGATTTCCATCTTTTTCATCCACCCGAGCGCCGAAGACGGCTGGATATTTAGGAATTTGATCGTTCGCTTTTACAAATCGCCCCTTACGACCGCAGGAAAGCTCCAATTCCACCTTGCTCACATCTATCTTTTTTGGAACAGTTGCTGGTTGGCCTACACTCCCCGAGATACTCCCGATGTCCTCCCGACACATGACCCACCAGCCCGTGAGGCTAGCTATGCACCCACACCTCGGCCGTGATACACTACACCACGACCATGGCAAACCAAAACTTTACAGTACCGCAAGGCAGTTAAGACAGTTGTCACTGTACGCCAGACCCGATCCAATGCATGCTGCCGACATGGTGCATTCCTCGTTGGCGCAGCACCTCACAACACACGCTCAGTTGTTTGTGTACAGATTGATTGTTGTTCAACTTGTTCAAACGACAAACGACACACACACACGCTGCTCAGAAAGAAAGGAAGAAGTTCACGCGTTGCGCAGCACGCGCTATTACTACACCTCTGTTTCCAGAGTTAGCCTACCCCCGACAACCAACAGACGTTGCAAATACTGTAGCTCAGAGGAAGAACGGCGCATCCGAAAGGTTCCGTGGCGATCGGCGTTTACAGAACTGCGTGGTCTAGAGTAATAGTGTGGTGTGTCGTGCGCTCGCCAGCGAAATCTCGCAAGGAGCCAACATGCACGGTGTTTACAGCAATCGTTGTTGGTGATTTGCCTCCAGCGACAGAGCGCAATAATAATACTGTAATACGGATCATCTCTGTTCGATGGCTAATCGCACTCAGTGGAAGGAAGTTTGTTTGACAGCGTATACATGCTAGGCAGAGCTCTGCACGGACGAAGTAGAAGCGTAAGTTCCTCCGTGCATGCATGTCTAAACGTGAGCAGAAAAAGAAAAGGGGGCAAACAGCTACCATTTGGTGACGTCACATCGCATGCCTTCTCGAAAACATCACACTCGGGTCTTCGCAAGCTGATTTTGAAATCAAATTTTGATCTCACGTCTGTCTTCCTTCGGACTTCCAAGATCAAATCAAAACACCAGTCCGCAAACACCCGACTGACTGTACGGCCGCAAAGTGAGAGCTCGACCATATCCAATGCAGCGCAGCCCTCTGTAGAGATCACCTTCGTAAAAAGCTACCATCTCCCAACCTCTGTCGAGGACGACTCCCAGTTTTCACATCGGCGTTGGTGAAGAGATTCAACAGCTCCATGGCACCGCCGCCGACCATCATGAACGCCATCTCGCCGTGGAGAGTTTCGTCTCCGACCAGGACGCCTGCGTGTCGAGAGGGGGCGCGTACTCCGGACAGCGCGGTCGTGACTCGCGGAAACCCTACGAACACGACTGAAGTCAATGGCAGGATTCGACGGGCGATGGACACCGAAAAGTATCCCATGCGGACGGCGCGAAAGGCAAAAGAACAAAAGAAGCTGACAATTCCGTGCCACCCGCAAAGGATACTTTGCGTTTTCCATGACCGGCCGAATCCTGCCATCGACTTCAGTCGTGTTTGTCGGTTTTCCGTGAGTCACGATCGCGCTGCCCGGAGTAAGCGCCACCGCTTTTCACGAACGCGTGCTACTCTGAGATGAAGCTCCATGTCGGCGTCACCAATGACCTGTCTGCTTTTTTTGGAAGAAATCCGGGTTCACCTGTTCCGACATTGGACGATTCCCTCGTTTCACACCTCCAGTTTTTTTTTCTTCTCGGATCCCAGGCCTGTTGTAGGATAGCGTACGATCATAGTCTGCGCGCTCGAAAGAAGACGGTGTTTCAAGGTAGCAGCAAAGAGCGTTCATTGACCACGATCGACTTGTCGCCGTTGCACGAAACGTGCACACCTTGCTAGATGCACTTGTATTCGAAGGCCTTTCAATGCATGCCGCCACCGTTTGGATCAGGAATTCATTAGTAACTCAGGATTCCATTCGGACAGCACAAACTCTTGCCGCGGTCGGGCATATTACCTCTGGCACAATGGCCGCTACAACCATGGCGTGTGGCCAACCTTTTGTCTGCTATGGTCCATGGCACTTTAGGTCACGACGAGGGAAGCTTCGTCAAACGGAAGGGCGGGTGCGGGTGGGGTAACCGTTACGCTGGATCAGCTGTTTGCGCACCGCGTGCACGGCGTCGACAACACAGGCAACGTCAGAGTATGGCCGGCGGAGCACGTTCTGCTCCACGTCTTGCTCTCTAGGTCCGTGTGTTGCCTTGCTTTTTTTGTTTTCTTTCGCCGGCGGACGACCCTTATCGACTGCAATGTGTCACTCACAAACAGCCGCGAAAAACGAGTTAAACATGCCGCGATCCTTTTTTATCCCTTTGAACCGAGTGAAGTAAAGGGTCATCAAACGAACGTAAAACGCTGAGTGTCTCTCCATAATACCTCCGTTCAACCCATATGTGCGGGTTGGTTGTTCTCTGCACAGTTTCTCGCGTTGTCGATATAGATGCCAGCCACCCACTCTCTCGTCCGATGCCCGTCTCGTTGCCATCTCGCCCCTTGGTTCTCCCTTGCGCGAAAACCGCCTGGCCTTCCTGCCGTTGTCGCGCCGACTAGCCCGCTGGCCTCCTCGCTGGGCGGGATGCGAGTGCTGGAGCTCGGGGCGGGCATGTCCGGGTTGGCCGGCTTGGGTGTGGCCGCTTGCTTGGACGCGGCAGAGGTTGTGATCACGGATGGCAACCCGGACGCACTTAGAAATCTCGAGGTACAGCAACGTGCGCATCGTGGCCTTTTCATTCAATAAGTTTCGGCCGCGCATATAGTATCGATCCCTGTACTCCGCCACCGAGAACGGCTGCTTGTTGGCCGCTGGGTTTTTCCGTCCCACGTTGGTGCTCTAGAGTGTGGGGGGGCGGGATAGCCTAGAGGGTTTTCTGTTTGGCGGGTACATCCGCATTTCTTGTGTTTCCGTCTTGTGTCATCCACAAGGTGTAGTCGTGTGTACATTGTTTTTTTGTTGTCGCACAAGGGCAGAGGTATGCATGCCCCCCAAGGAAGGTGTCGTTCATCGGGTCCGACGGAAACTCTGGGGGAGTGTCTACATCTTACGATGCGCGCGTTCGACGTGGTTAGTTTGGGCTGGCATCCCCCGGGGCATGACGCAGTTCGTCGTTCGAACCTCGTTGTGTTGCGCGTTTATCAGATTTCTAGTTGGCGATGACTGCTGTGCCACTAGTGCCGCTGAGGTTGTGAGCTGCATCTCCGAACGAAAACATTAAACGTGAGCCACGTCGAACAAGCCTGAGGCGTTTTGTTGAGGCTAGCAACGATATTTCATCGACTCCTCACAATCCTTATTCGTACTTCTTCCGCATTTGCAGCTGACAAAAGCACGCATTGCGCCATGCCGCCAAAGTCACCCCCGGCCAGCGTCTTCGACATGGTCCGTGCGTCCTGACCCTATCCTTTCGACTGCAAACACTCTCTTGGCTTGAAACATGCCCCACCTCTGCTGACTATTTGTTCCAACCCCCCTTTCCAGCCTTCGTGTCCACACCGATTCATTGAGTGGTCGAGGCAAACAACAGATACGCATACCCCCCCCCCCCCCCCCCCCCCCCCCCCCCCCCCCCCCCCCCCCCCCC